GTGACCCTGCCCCTCCCAGGCGGCACAGCCACCCGTCGCATGGTCCGCTGCCCGAGGACAGCGTACAGGACACTGAGGGCCACGCTGCCGGCCCGGCGTGCCTTCCACACCAGCGTCACACTCTGGTGTGTGTCCCCCACCACCTTGAGCGCCGTCACCATCCGGGCCTCCTGGGGTCCCGTCGGCCCACCCTCCTCCATGCTGGGCCCTGCAGGCCAGGGTGTGGGGGGCATACGCCTGGCCACCAGCCTGTAGTACGCAGCTGCTTCTGGCCCCTCTCCCGTCCCTGCCCCTGGGGCCTCCGGGCTCCTGCTGCACTCGGTGGAAGCCTGGGGCTCGGTGACGACCAGGGAGGTGAGGGTCTCGGAGGCGCCCAGGAAGTTGCTGGCCTGGCAGACGTAGTCCCCGGCGTCGAGGTGGGACACGGCGGGCAGGCCCAGCAGCGCCCAGCTGGTGCCGTCCCTGGAGACCTGCTGGTGCACTGGGGGGGGAAGGGGGAGGCACGGATGAGGAGGGTGCCCGTGCCCTGGCTCCCTCCAAGGGCCACACTCGAAGCCCAGACTGTGTACACGCCACTGAAAGCCTTGTCACTCCAAGAAAACACTGGGGCTCACCAACCTTTCTTAGACTAGCCAAGGAGATTGAGACCACCGAGGCTCTAATCTGGGGAGAGCCCGGCTAAGTCAGTGCCCAAGAACGCTCTGCCTTCTAAGCCTGCCACGTGCGGACTGTTCCTCAGGCCCTGGAGCTCTGCAGCCCTGGAAAGTGCCCTCCCATGGCTGCACGGCCCATCGCTCCGGCCCTGCACCAGCTCCAGGGGCGCCTCCTGCTTGCTGTCTGTGGCCTGGCGCTCCCTGTACAGCTCAGCTGTACACTGATTCCAAACCCCTCGTTCTAGAGCAGCACTGGCCAACCTGGTTGCAGGAGAGAGAAGAAAGCTGGGCAGAACCAAGCGTCCGGTCAGACACTGAGAGAGGCTCCTCCTCAGCTCTCTCTGGGTGTGGCGAGTGCTGACTCCCCACCAGCCTGCCCAGGGCCAGGATGAGCCCTCTGTCTAAGGCAAAAGAGCCTCCCTGTGGAGTCACCAGAGCGCGGTCCACGCCCGTCCTCCTGTAGGAGCTGCTGATGGAGGCCGGCATTTAGCCTCTCAGAGCCTCAGGTTACTTATACAAAAGAAGAAGATTGCTCTTCAAAGCTCAAAGACATGATGGACAGAATACATTTAACAAAGAGCTTCATGAATGTAACTCACATCAAAAGTTACTCCAAGTGATACCAACTTCATATTTGCAACTGGGAGACTCACTGTTGCCCTCTTGGGGGCCCAGAGTCTCTGATAGAGGGGCTGGTGGGATGTGACAGGACAGGCTGAGAGCCACCATTGAGGCCACTGTCCCAGGCCCTGCCTCTGCATGACGCCTGTCCAACCCCATCGGGCAGAATGGGCGTGAGCAGCCCCGCTCAGCCTGCTGCCCGCTCCTCAGCCTTTGGGACCCTGACCCACCGCCCTGTGGGATCTCAGCATGGTGGTCCCTGAAGCTCACACACCTGTGCCATTGAGGGGGCGCCCACTGACCCTCCTCCAGCTCATCTGGGGCTCAGGGACACCAGTGGCCCCACAACGGAGCAACACTGTGCTGCCCAAGGGAGACCTGACGCTGGCCACGCCTGGTCGCAGCTCGGGTCCCTGGCACCTGCTCAGCTGCAGCTGGCGGAAGGCCACACCGGCCAGGCCGCCCGGACCAGCACACCGTAGCCCGGCCTCTATGAAGGCCAGGTGCGGGGCCCCGCCTTCCAGGAAGCGGACCAGGTCGTGGAGTCGGCAGTCGCACGCCCAGGGGTTGTCTTGCAGCCCTGCAGGGTGAGAGGCCAGAGGTCAGCCCGCTGTTCACATCCCCAGGCCCACTCCCTCCCCCGTGGGGGTCTAGGCAGGTCCTGAGCTCAGCCAGCAGAACTGGCCTCCCACTCGCTCCTTGCCGCCCAGTCCTGCCCCCTCGGCGCCCCAGCCCTGCCCCCTCAGACCCCCAGCCCTGCCCCCTCAGCCTGCTCTTCCTCTGGAGGCCTCACACGGCTTCCTTGTCAGGTTGTCATGAGCATAAATAAAAAAGAATCACATCAGGCACTGGGTAGGCCATACAGCACCAACAGTGTCAGCAATGACCCCGCCAGCCTTAGAGGGACACTTTCAGCCACTGTCCAGCGAGCATTCCTGTGGTGCTCACCATGTACCAAAGCCTGTCGCTGGCAGTGCTGTGACCCTGGCTGCTTGACCCCTGACCTCCCAGTGTGAGTGACACTGCCAGCACCAGCCCAGCAGGGCGGCTGTCTGAGCCCTGGTTCCTCTGACACAGGCTCAAAAGGAGAGAAGAGAGGAGGCCAGGAAATCAAACCCTATGTCACCGTCCTGTGCTCGCACGTTTTTCGGAGCTGGAAGGTCACCCCCTCCCCCCCCCCCCCCCCCCCCAACAGAGACAGGGCATCCTGTGTCCTCAATCCTCAGGCACAAATCCTCTTTATATGTTTGCATTTCTGAAATGCAAAATAAATGCATTTAATATGATGTCCTTTTTATCCCCCAAAGACTGTTATTAAATGTGATAGTGTGTCCAGGAGTCAGTGGATCTTGTACATGTATATGCAGGTGTTCGGTTTGTTTGAAAGAAGAATGTGAGTGTGGAAAGGCTGCATTCACATCTGCTGGATGGTCACAACTCATGAGAAAGCCAGCCAGGGGCGCTGGCTCCTTCTCCTGCCCCAGCCCTCCCCACCCAACCGGCGGCTGCTCCCCATCCGGTGAAGTGCGTGTAATGAGTCATCACTGCCTGCCTCTGGCTTTCACCTGATACAGAGTCCCCGGTAAATGAATGCAAAAGGCAAAGTCAGAGGACAGTGAAGCAGTCACCCATCACATTGGCAAAAGTGAAACATTTGGCCACTTTAACTGTTAGCCCACGAGAAAGTAGATCTTCATCAGCTGTGCTCACGGCTGCATTCCCAGCGCCTAGAACTGTGGCACATATTCATAAGGGCTCAAGTCAACTTGCGGAGCGGACACCACATGCCTGGGGAACAACAACATCTAGCGTGCACACTCCGTGAGCTCGCCACGCCCCTAGACAGCTGTCTGCAGGAATCTCGGGGAGGGGGTGGGGGGCACATGCTTTGAAGACTGTTGGCTTTGGGTTTCCCAGAAGGAGGCTGAGAGGCAGAGTGCGGTGCAGGGGAAGGAGGAAAGCAGGAGAGAGGGGAGCTCTGTGCGCCTGGCAAACCCCCGGGTTGGGGCGCTCTGGAGCTAGAATAGCCCATCAGCGACCTTTACCTTCCCCCTGATAGGTCCTTGGATGGGACTGTCCTCAGAGAGGGGTGTGGCCTTGGGAGAGGCTGTTCTGAGCTGAGATGGTCCCCAGGGGCTGAAGCACCCTAGGCGCTGGGCAGCCAGAGGGGGGGGGGGGCGTGAGCGCTATGCCCCCAGGCCTGCCTGTTTGAATAGATCTTTCTATCAACCTCTCTTCTCTAAAGGAAACGGGCATAGAGAAGCTGAGCCAGGGACACAGCTAGTAAGGGGCAGAATTTGAACTCCTAACCTTACCAGTATGTGCCTAGCGCGCAGCCTCCGCTTAACCCAGGACCAGCGCCATGTCCGTTTCCCAGGGAAAGGCGCTATGCCCCCAGGCCTGCCTGTTTGAATAGATCTTTCTATCAACCTCTCTTCTCTAAAGGAAACGGGCATAGAGAAGCTGAGCCAGGGACACAGCTAGTAAGGGGCAGAATTTGAACTCCTAACCTTACCAGTATGTGCCTAGCGCGCAGCCTCCGCTTAACCCAGGACCAGCGCCATGTCCGTTTCCCAGGGAAAGAATCAGAGCCCAGAGAGGCGTGGCGTCCTGCACAGACCCGAGGCGCAGGGGCCTCTCTTACCGAGGACCAGCCCGGGGCGGCCCGGGAGGGAGGGCGCGGC